GGAAGCGGACTGCACTGTATGGGGGAAGGACACGCTTGTAGCTCTGGCTTGGGTGAGGCAAACGCATTACATGTTACCAAAATGTTTGTACCCCTATAATATCCTGAATTAAAAAAAGAAAAAAAAGGAAAAGAAAATGTGGTATGTATATACCATGGAGTACTACTCAGCGATGAAAAGGAATGAAATTATGTCTTTCACAGCAACTTGGATGGAATTGGAGACCATTATCCTAAGTGAAGTATCTCAGGAATGGAAAAACAAGAATGCATGTACGCTATCATAATTGGGACCTAATTGCTGGGCACACACAGGCCCAAAGAGATGTAAAGGTGACAGGAAACCAAGGTGGGAGTAGAGGGGGGTGTAAAAACCTACTTATCGGGTACAGTGAACACAATTTGGTTGATGGGCACACTAAAAGCCCCAACTTAAACTTTATAAAAGATATCCAAGTAACAAATACATTTGTACTCCCTTAATATTTTGGAAAAAATAAGTTTACTAATGTGATTCCACTTCTGGGAATAGCAGAGTAAGCTAACAAACCACCCTTCCTAAAGAAAACAATTATGAAATCTGGACAAAATACAAGTCAACAGACACACAGAGGTATGTGTATTATAATCTCTGGAACAGCCAGTAAAAACTTAATTTGAAGATATATAGCACAAAAATTCATAGATAAATTCAAAATTGAATGTTATATATAAGTAACCCCAAAACACCAATAAAGTATGAGAAGAGAAGTAAATAGACAAAAAAATTATAAGGAGACAAGTAGAAAAATAAAAATCACTAAAATGGTAGACCTAAATCCAACCCTATCAGTAAGTATACTAATGTGAATGAACTATAAACACTAATTAGAAGTCTGTGATTGGATTAAGAAAGAAAAATATTGGGGCTATGGGAGAGCAAGCAAGCGCCCAACTATCTATTATCTAAAAGAAGCCCATTTTAAATACAGTTGTATCAATGCATATAGAGTAAAAGGAGAGGAAAACATATATCGTGCATACACCAATCAAAACAAGGCTGGAGTGGTGAAATTAATATCAGAAAATAGTCAACTTCATAGGAAGAAAATAACCAGGGTTAAATCATGTTAAAAGGGTAAATTCAGCAGGTAATCATAATAATCTCAAATATATGTGAACCTTGCCATAAAATTTAAGAAGTTGATATAACTGAGGAAAAATTAACATATCCACAATTATACTTGGAAATTGTAATTTCCACTCACCAATAGAACCAGTAATCAAATCAGTAAGAATGTTGAAGGTGCAAACAATGCTATCAATTAATTTTAATTAATTAACATTCATAGAACATTTCAGGTGTTCAAGTATATATGGAACAGTTACCAAGGTATATCATATTCTGAAACATAAAAAAAACTTTAAAAAACTTAAAAGAAGTAATATCTTGTCATAATGAAATTACACTAGCAATAATATCTGAAAGATATCTGGAAAATACCCAAATATTTGGAAACTAAACACACCTTTGAATAATCCATGAGCAAAAGAGAACGTCTTTAGGAAACATTTAGAACTGAATGTAAATGAAAACACAGCACATCAAAATCTTTAAGTTTAGCGAAGGTAGGCTTAGAGGGAAATTTATACCAGTATATCCCTACTCTAGAAAAAAAGGAAGTTCCAGAAATTATAATCTAAGCTGATACCGTTATAAACTTGAAAACAGGAAGAAAAAATAAGCCCGAAACAAGGGGAATAAAGGAAATAGTAATAAGAACAGAAATCAATGAAATTGAAAAGAGAAAAAACAGAAAATTATGAAAGCAAAATAGATTAAATGATCCAGCCAGAATGATCAGGAAAAAAGGAAGACAAAAATTACCAATATCCTGAATGTGAAAGTGGACATCATTAAAGTCCATACAGATATTAAAAAGAGCCAATTCCTTGAACTACAGAAAGTAATTCATCAAAAGAGAGATTTTAATTTTAAAAATTAACAAAATTTAAATTAAACAGTTGTAATGGTAGCTCATACCTATAATTCTAGCACTTTGGGAGGCCAAGGCAGGAGGATCACCTGAGGCTGGGTGTTTGAGACCAGCCTGGGCAACATAGCAAGACCCTATCTCTACAAAAATTTCAAAAATTAGGTGGGTGTGGAGGCATGGATTCATAGTCCAGCTACTCAGGAGGTTGAGGTGGGAAGATCACTTGAGCTCAGGAGTTTGAGGTTGCAGTGAGCTGTGATCACACCATTGCATTCCAGCCTGGGCAACAGAGTGAGACTCTGCCTAAAAAAAATAAAAAATTGTAATGGTAGTTAAAAACCCTTAAAATAGACCCAAATAGGCCAGGCATGGTGGCTCACACCTGTAATCCCAGCACTTTGGGGGGCCAAGGCAGGAGGATTGCTTGAGGCCAGGAGTTCAAGACCAGCCTGAGAAGAGTGTTACCCTGAGCAAGAAGAAGACCCTATCTCTACTTAAAAAATAAAAAAAATTAGCCAGGCGTGGTGGTGCACGCCTCTAGTCCCAGCTACTTGGGAGGCTGAGACAGGAGGATCACTTGAGCCCAGGAGTTTGAGGTTACAGTAAATTATGATGACACCACTGCTCTCTGGCTGGGACAACAGAGCCATACTCTGTCTCAAAAAACCAAAAAAACAAAACAAAAAAGAACCCCAAATATTTTAACTGATGAATTTTACCAAACATTTAAGGGAGATAAACAATTTAACAAAGTTTTTTCTAGGAAATAACAGAGTAAGGAGCATTTCACGGTTCATTCTTCGATGCCTCCATTACTCTGATGCCAAAACCAGACAAACACATTATTAGAAAGCTACAAACCAATATTTTTCAGGATCTCAGACATGAAAATCTTCAAAATATTAGCAAATTGAATCCAGCAGCATATACAGGATTTTGACCAAATGGGGCTTGTTTTAGGAATGTAAGGCTTATTCAACATTTGATAATCAATCATTGTTAAAATTTACAATATTAATTGATTAAAGAAGATAAACCACATGATCATTTCAATCAATATATGCAGAAAAGCACTTGAAAAACCCAACATTCTTTCATTATAAAAACTCTCAGCATATTTCCTAAAGGGCTTTTACAAAAAAGCTACAAATAATGTCATACTTAAGGATTGAACGCTTTCATCCTAAGACATGGAAAAAGGCATGGCTATCTCTTCTCACCATTCCTCTTTGCCTCAGCAAATACATTAAGTAAAAAGGAAGAAAAGGCATGTAGATTGGAAAGGAAAAAGTCATATTGGGTCTATTCCTATACTACATGATTGTCATCAAAGAAAATTCATGTACTGTACCAAAAAACTCCTAGAATTTGGAGGAAACACACAAAGTTAAGGTAAAAAAATATAAATTTTATCTCTATATACTAGCAAGGAAAATTGATAATTGAAATTTTAAAAACATTACCATTTATAATCTAAGAAAATAAATTCAGAACCTTTGTGCTAAAAAAAAAAAGAATCTTTGTGCTCAACAATAAGAAAAAGAAGTCAAAATAAATCTAAATCAAGAAATATGCTGCATTCATGGATTAGAAGACTTAGTATTAAGATATCAATTATCCCCAAATTGATTTATACACTTAACTCAATTCCCCCCAAATTCCTGAATGAGAATAGCTGAAATAATGTTACAAAGCCCAGAAAAGGTAGGCTCACTTTACCTGATTTCAAGATTTTCTATAAAGTTACAGTAATCAAGAGTATGATATTAGTGAATATATGTACACAGAAATTGATGGAATATAATAGAGCATCCAAAAACAGGCCTACAGAAATAATGGCCAATTGATCTTTGGGAAGTTGACATGTTAATTCAATGAAGAAGGAACAGTCTCTTAAAGAAATCTTGCTGGAACAATTGAACATCTTACGCAAAAAAGTTAACGTTGTGTACCTTTTGTATAAGATCCTCACAATCTTTTGTATAAGGTCTGCATATTTTATACAAAAATAAATTCAAAATGGGTGATAGACTTAAGTGTAAAACATAATACTATGAAACTTTTACAAGAAAACAGAAAATCCTTATAACCTTCAGTTAGGCAAAGAATTCTTTGATATGACATCTAACCAAAATTAAGAACTTGCTCTATGAAAGCACTGTAGGCAGTTTCGATAAATATCCTGCCTGGGTAGAATCAAGTTTTAAACTGGTGAATTAAGTGGGGGATTTAGTAGTTTGATCAGTAGGTAAAATGGAACTTTGAATTCAATTTTGAAGAAGTTGCAAAAAGAGGGAGTATGTTTTAGTTTCTTAGACGTATGCCATTTTCCCACTCTTTTTTTTTTAAATAATAAAAATGATTGTCAACTGTATAAATTCAGTCATATAAAACTTCTCTCTGCTAGTCATATGGGAATGTATTATAATAATACCTGTAATTCTAGTATTTATTCTTTACTGGCATACTGATGTAACATTAAGTTTGTTATTCTCAGGAAAATGTTTTTTTTTTGGTGTTTTGTTTTGTTTTTGTTTTGTTTTTTTTTTTTAGACAGAGTCTCGCTTTGTTACCCGGGCTAGAGTGAGTGCCGTGGCGTCAGCCTAGCTCACAGCAACCTCAAACTCCTGGGCTCAAGCAATCCTTCTGCCTCAGCCCCCCGAGTAGCTAAGACTACAGGCATGCGCCACCATGCCTGGCTAATTTTTTCTATATATATATATTTTTAGTTGTCCAGATCATTTCTTTCTATTTTTAGTAGAGACGGGGTCTCTCTCTTGCTCAGGCTGGTCTCAAACTCCTGAGCTCAAACGATCCACCCGCCTCGGCCTCCCAGAGTGCTAGGATTACAGACGTGAGCCACCGCGTGGCCAGGAAAATGTTTTAATTTTTTTGTTTTGGAAAGTTTTTTATATCCTTGTAATTTTTTTCCTTTGATAATATATTAAAATATGTTGAATAGCTTTTGAAAATATTTCACATACATAATCATTTTCACTTTTACCCTTTGTTTTTTGTCTTCCAGGAATGCTTTTGGTGACAACAGACACCCTTGGCCATGATTTTCATGTCTTCCAAATTCTGACTCATCCTTGGTCCTCGTCACAAAGTGCTGTCCACCATCTGTACACTCTTCACAGAGGAGAAACTGAAGCCAAAGTAAGCTGTGTATTTTTTAAGAAGGCCATTTCTTTGTGTAATACGACATCTCCTCTAGTTGGTCATTTATATCGCATTGGAGCTTAACGTTAATGTTAGTGAGAAAATATTGCTCTTTGTGGTAGTACAGGTTAGATAATTAAGAAAAAAAGCCTATTTTGACCCAATAAATATATAAGCACTAGATAAACACCTTATTGTCAAAAAATTCAGCAAATTTTGATAAAACAGTTCTGTTTATTTTGCTCCACTGAACCTAATGCCATTTCTTGCCCCAGAGAAAACCCCTGTCATGGATTTGATACCTGTCCCTCCATACTTTTACTAGGCATTTTGATTCTATATACATAAATATGTACATACATACACACACACACACATATACATATAAGCACACATATATTCATATGTACATAAAATAATTCAGTTTCATAATAGAGATCAGTATATGGATATTCTGGAGGCAGTTCACAATGGCTAGCAAGAGCCAATTATGCACATCTCTCCCCAACACTGTTTTCAGTGACTTCACAGAGGTAGTGTGAAGTCATCCATGGTGGGAATATTTAATCTTGAAAATTGGCAAACACTAAAAATAATCTAGCAGTAGAGGAGAATTGATTTAGATAATAGAACAAATATATGACAAAAGAAAATAGAGGGATGATTATTGAATACAAGAAACTTAAGATACACATCAAGGAAATGGAACATGAGAACGTTGGACCTTGATTTAATCAAAGTATAAAGAGACAGTTGGAGAAAATTGATCATGAACTGGATATTATATTTATCAAGTGTTATTAATTTTCTGAGTGTGTAATTATATTGTAGTTTTATTTTTTAAAAATCTTTATCTGTTAGGCATATATCCTGAAGTTTTTACAGGTAAAAAGGATATGGTATCTCCGATGTGCTTTAAAATATTCTGTCAAAACAAACAATGAAATAGAGTCAACCAGATTTGCACAGTGTTAATTACTTAAGCTGGGTGATGTCCCTGTAGGTGGTTCATGATGGCATTCTCTATACTTTTGTATATGTTTGGAAATTTCTGATAGAAAGTAAAAATGAAACAACACCCTTCACCAAAATTATGCTGTTTTACTTACTTTAGCTTTAGAACATGATTTATTGTTTGTTTTCAAAAACTTTCCTGGCTATTGTGTTTTAGAGTGACTCTATTGAATTATATAATGAATCTTGTGGAGATTTTTACTTGGATTACATTGATATGACATTGTAATACAGTTAAAAGTGACATTTTTACATTATAGAAGTTATGCATCTAGGAATTATTACATTTTAAAATTAGTCATTGCTGTGGTATAGCAAAACTATTGATTGTTTTGTATTGAATTTATATCTTTCTGTGTTGCCTGCTTCTCTTATAAGATCGAATAGTTTTTCAGTAAATTTTCTAAATGGAATATATTTTTCTGATAATCATACTTTCTGACTTTTGAATTTTATTTTTCTATCTTATTACATTGGCTAGGAACTCTAAAATGTTGTATAACTGTAGTAGTGATAGATATGGTCTTTTATTTTCAAATAATGTTTTAGTTTCTTTCACTTTATTGTTTTCCTTTATTTTTAGCATTTTTTTTTTCATTTTGCAAGTAATACATAAAAACATCTCGTGAATAAACTTTAGACAATCTTGAAGAATATGGAGCAAAACATCAAAGTTACCCATTAACCTCTCTGTGCGGAGCTGCCTTGCTTGGTGTAACATTGTGATCTGTTGTGCCTTCTTAAAAATACCCCTACATATTTACATAGATGAATTTGTTCTTAATACTGCAGTAGTGTTATATATTTTTTAATTATCACCCTAGCACTGGAGATCTGAAGATTAAAAAAACCATTTTACTTAACCTTTCTGATTTTTGTTCTGACATTTATAGATTGGTAGTTCTTAATAAATATGTACTTTGATTAATATTTCTAATTAATATCTAAGGGAAAACCAAATTACTGCTTGGTAAGATCTTAGCATTTTCATAATCCAAGCTCTATTTGAATTCATTTATCAGCTTTAATTAAAATGTTTAAATCTTGAATCCTTATCCTTCAGCATGTATTTTTACTCTTTTGTATTGCCATTGTCAGACTTCAGAAAAGATTACAGACACGAAATCTGTGCATTTTTCTTAATCTCAGTTATTTTATTCTCCAGTTAAATTGGGAAATCTTAGCTTTTTATTTATTTATTTATTGGTTTTTTTCAACAAAAAAAATTTTGTTTTTAGAGACAAGGTCTCGCTCTGTCACCCAGGCTGGAGTGAGTGTAATGGCACTGTCATAGCTCATAGTAATCTCAAATTCCTGGGCTGTAGTAATCCTCCTGCCTCTGCCTCCCAAAGTGCTGGGATTACAGGTGTGAGCCACCATGCCCGGCCATCCCAGCTGATTCTTGGCTTTTTAAAAAATTGTGGTAAAATACATGTAACATAAAATGTACCATTTTAATAGTATCAATCCACATTTTTGTGCAACCATCACTGCCATCTGAATAATCTTATACCTTTTGGAACTGAACAGGTTTTCTAAGCTATCATCATTGAACATTTATCCATACCAGCTGTTCCTCAATTAGAAAGAAACTAGGAAATGGAATTTTAGTCACTAAAGTGGTATCTTTTCATTTCTTCTAATGTTCCCATCAGGCAAATTATCATTTATGTGCAAATTTTAATTCGTTTGCACATAATACATACTGCATGATGATTAAGTATGGGAATATGCAACTCCTCGTACATACAATGTCCAATTTCTTCCTTCTAGAAGAAATATTTAAAATATTTTTACCTTCGTGAGGGTGTTTATTATATCTCCTTTTTTCTTCACACAAAAAATGCCTACAGTAAGTATTTAAGTTCCTGTTGAGGTTAATGAAATTGATTCTTCTATTAAGATTTCACTTTAGAAATGTATTAGTTGGATCATGACTTATATTTTTCATGTATTAAATATTCAATGTCTAGTCAGATGAGGTCCACAGGAAAAATAAATAAATAAGAACCATTCAACATTCATGTTAAGAATTCCCTTATGTCCCTTCCTCCTTATCTAAGTAGAAGTAATTAGGATTAATCCTTCTCTTCCTTGTGTCACTCATTTTATACTCTATTATAGGACTGGATGTCTAGTTGTCTGTCTCCGCTAATACTGGGGTTTCTTTTATAAAATAAATTGTACCTTATTGACTCTTATATGCTCAGGGCTTCCCACAGAGCCAGATACATTTTTACCTTGCACCATTTGGAAGTAGGTTACCAACATAACACAATGCTCTGTTATCCTCAGTGTTTGAATGTGTATTTCCTATAAATGGGGATACTCTTCTATGTACCCATAAAATAACCATTTAAAAACCTAATCAATAAATTTCTACCATCTAATTTTCAAGCTCCATTTTAGTTTTGCTTGTTGTCCTGGTAACTAGCAAAGGATTTAGTTCAGGAAAACTTAATTGTTCTATTTCTTCTGTCTCCTTTATTCTGGAATATATCATCATTATTTATTTGCCATTTACGATCCTAGCACATTTATTTATTTATTTA